ATCAAGTACATGAATAAAATATTTACAGTGTGATGTAATACAAAAGTGGGTACTAATTACAACATGACACCAAACATCAAAGGTGTGAACTAAAATGCTAGAAAAGTGTTATAATGCTGTAATTGTTTTGTTAAGTTCAGGTTTGATCATATTTATATAAAAAGCTTCTTTGAGTTTTAAATCAATTGAGTTGTTAGCAGAATCCAGAATACTGAAGCAAGAAAGGGAGTATTTGTTCTTACAAGAAGGAGAGGTGTTGAAATGCTTAAAAATATGTGAGTTTTTATCGCTTGCCGTGTGCTCCTTTGTCCTAGTAGAAGTGGCGACTAGTTTCACCGATATAACGAGAATTACATCCCGCACAAGAAAATCGATAGACTACCATGGATTTTAGAGCATCAGGAGTACGATCTTTAACACTGAACATGTTTTTAATTTTAAAAGAAGTGAAAACTAGTTTGATATTTAGGTCCGATTTATAAAAGCGCTTAGTGAGTTGTCAGAGTTTGAGGTTCACTATTTTAGAATAATAGCCGACAAAAGGGAGTTTAAAGTAACGTGTATTATTGTCATCAATGTTCCGGCTATTTTAAGAGGAGGACCCATCAAGATACCGCTTGAGAGTTCTTTCAATAATATGCGAAGGAAAAGAATTACGTTTTGAAGTGTTGGAAAGTTTCTTAAGATCGTTTTGAAGGCTGGAAGAGGTGTTGTTGATTTTGTAGATATGGTCAATAAGAGTTCGGATAAGGCCAACTTTGTAGCATGATAGAATAAAACTAATGATTGTGTTTTTTCAGTTTTTCAGAAAAAAACCTACACTGGTCTCCTAACAAATTTCTTTAGTTTTATTCCATCATGCTACAAAATTGGCCTTATCCAAACTCAGTTTTATTCCATCATGCTACAAAATTGGCCTTATCAATCTGCTAAGGCAGAAGACTGAGTTACTAGATAACACAGACACAATAGGTTTCATATTAATAATTCCTGATATCATTCAGTAATTGTTTTATTATGCATTTTTTAAACAATCTGCAAAAGAAGTCACACCACTCTGAGTTTGCAAACATTTTGAGAACACTACATGAACAAGGGGCTTGGAAACTAGGCAGACTTTGGACTTGACTGCTGCGGATATTGGGTTATCATGTCACGATCACATGCTATTGTCTATTGATTGATTGCTCTTGACCAATCAGATTTTTCATAGTAAGTCAAAAGTATAATAATGACAATTAATAGAAGTGGTATTAATAGTTAATTATTACAAGTTAATGGTGAGCATGTATTGTACATAGCTAGGAATCGCATTACACTGTAACCTGTGAATTATTGTACTCCCCATCCCTTCCCTCCCTTGGTGGTTGTATTTGTCCCAAATGGAAAATATATGTAGCAGCCCATTGACGGCCCACATACTTACGATTGTTGTTTTTATTGCGTGATTAACCTTGATTCATAGCTATCAACAGTCACTAAGTAAATAAAAATGGAAAAAGATTGTAAATATGTTGGTTAATAGATGAAGGACTAATGACCAATCATTGCAACACACCTGATAAAAGTAATATTCAAATGCTTCCTTGTCAATGTCCCTCAGCTCCAAGCCATGGCAGGCCTTGATACACAATCTGAACAAGTAAACTTGGCTGGTACACTCAGCCTCATTGAGCACTTTGTTGGGATTAAGAAAATGTCTGCCATCTGCAGAAACCAAAGTGAAAAAATCCAGTGCAACTGGAGAGATTTTGAGCATCTGGGCTGCTTCAGTGCAGACATCCTGTGCAAAAAATAACATATGTATCACTACAGGCACCCCACCACACTTATGTTCTGCTCTGTCTCAAAATGCAGATATAATCATTTATGCTTGTTTAGGACCTGTCAAATGAGCACTGCTCTGGGACTATGTATTTTTCCACCAGTATTGACTTACACTATATAAACCCTTCCCCAGTATCTCCATAGGTGACCAAGACAGACTTTCTCCTTACAATAACAATACAATGTAACGCAGACAAGTAATGAGAATATAGGAAAAATAACAATTAGTTGATTATTAGTTGATCCAAACTAAAGTTCTCCAAACTCAGATCATAGAAATGAGATTTTGAGAGTGAAAGGGATCATCAGGTCATATATTTATTTTATTAACCAGAATCCTTTGTTTCTTATGACTGTAAGTGACTGCCACAAGCCCATCTGTGATAATACAGGTTGCTTTTAGAGAAAGAATGATGTTAAAGTTTTTTGGACTTAAGAACTTATCCATTGTAGAGAGGTCAATACATAAAATGAGAGGTTTGAGAGTAATGTTAAGATTTGGAAGATTTAATTGCTGTCAGAGGTCCCTGCTGTACCCCATATTTAAACTGGAATCGATGCTCAATGGCTTTGTTTTGTGTATTATACATTTATCAGTTTCAAGAAGTCCTTACTTCCTTTATATTGCTTTATCCCCTTTCCAAAACATCATCAAAAAGAACAAATTTCAAACCTGTCACTTAGAATTCATGACAGATAAAGCATGTGGGACAAATAAATACAACTGCAATCCCATGATGCAACTAAATATCAGTCCACCGGTGCCCGCTAGTCCAAACCTTGTGGATCATAAATTCTAGGAATCCCATTGCATAATACCAATTCCTAAAGGGTTTTCTCAGAAACACAGGTGACACCCAGATGCTCATTAAATGAGTACCCCCTCTAGCTTCTTCAACCCTCTAAGTGACGGACAACAGACTCCAATGATTACTCAACCACCCAGACCACAAGATAAGTTCTCTCTACATCGATCAATTTCTCCCAATTCTTCTTTGAGAAAAGTAGAGAGTGAAAAAAGGAGAAGTTGTATTTTGATATCAGGGATCAGAAATTTTATACCAGGCATAAAAACTCAGATGCCACCTTTCAGGTTTTACCTGATTTCTAATTGGTCTCAGAGGAAAACCATTGGTTAGAAGTCTACATCAATAGCAACACATTTCTAGGAATCAAAATAAAGCCACCTTGGTAAACATTTATCTTTCTTGGAACTAATTACCATAATTATTTGCTATCAAAGCCGTTAACACATTAAGTGCTTTTGACCTAAGTCATTGATTGTTAACAGATTGAAAATTGTGATAACAAGCAGGAAAATGTAGCTATGGCTGAACAGCAGGTTTCAGTGGAAGGCTTACAGTTTTTTCAGCTTGCTACAGATATATGTGAACAACAAAACACATCAGAGCATAACATTCTATTCTATAGGACAACAGTGACATCTTTTACTAAAGCATTAAATAATGAAACAGATGTCACTCTCAAGTTTATTGCACAAACAAAAGATTTTCCGAGAATTGTTGTTCTCAGAAGTAATTCCTTTCACATTTGATGCAAAAAATACATGCATATTAGGTTATGAATCTAACAAAAATTACCACTTAGTTTATTGCCAAAATATTAAAGACACAAAAATGACTCTCTACATTATATTTTATCTTAAGTAACAGGTGTCGTATTAAGCTATGTTCTGCTTTGTGGAAGAATTCCAGTAGCAGTTACTTTTCCTTAAAAACCTGAACAATCTAAATACGTTTATGTAATAATTCCAATCATAACTGAGGCAAATCAGTCTGTTTTTAACGATAAATATACTATCGATCCCTTATCAGTTGTCAAAAGGTTTTGGCAAGTAAAAGATCGAGGATTCATGGGAACAGAGACAATTCTTATTAAAATAAATCACTAAAAACTATTTAAATGCAAAGATAACCCACAAATTACAAAGATTCTTTTAAACTCGGCGAAATATACCTTAAAAACCGCAAAGTCGACGCGGTAAACTTGGAGGAATATATATCGATGCAAATTGGAGTTTAATTATTAAGGAGTTGGGTACAGTTTTTTTTTCAATGAAAGCCTTCCAAACAGAAAACGACTATAGCGTTTAGTGGTTAACACGCCATTCAGTTCTCCGGAATAACCTCGAAGCAAAGCATGTTAACTTGAAGCAACTCCGTACGTGATCGTACGTAAATACAGTAGCTCTTCTGACGATCGTGTCACGAGTGCTGGAAGAACATAGGCAGTGTTGTAGTGTTTATATGAACTTTAGACCGAAACATAGAAATCCTTGCGTTCATCTTACGTGAATCGAAAGCTTAACTCACCCTGACGCTCAAGTTTGGACGGTACACAAAAGTCAAATCCTCGTGACTCGACGCGAAAATTACAGTTCCTTTTCCTTCTCGAAGGGAAGTTGAACGAGACCATGGCCAACTTCTTCTTCCACAAGCTTCCCTGACTCTTCTCCAAACTTCTGGACCGCCATTAACACCCATTCTCAGAGATCGTCAGCATTTCATGTCTCAACGTTGTAGGAACTTTAACACTAACGATCATCGTTCGAAGCCCAAATACATGTTTAACACTACATTTTCATTCCGAGAACAGCTGTTTCCGAGAAACCCACAATATGTAAGGCGTCCCTCGGGATGTTCATTTCGATCGAGCTAAAACTGAAGCGAACCAATCAAATTCCTTCTTGCTCATTCGTCATAGAAATTGGGAGGGAGGGGAGGATCAGAAATAGTTGGAGTTAAACTGATGACAGTCCCATGACTGGGACCCCTTATATTTCAACTTCAGCCTCAAATTGTGGGATAGTTCATAGGCTTGGCGTCGATGAGAGCAAATCACCTTTGTTCTCTTTGGGTCGTTTTGTATCTTAGTCAAGAAATCTGCTTGAAATGGTGAGCAAATCTCGAATTGGGGCATGGCTTCAGGGGGGGAGGTATAGTGCTTTTTCAGTTGTAAAATTACCTAAAGTTGAATGAGTAAAAGTCGAGTTTTCGGAGAAATATTGAAATGTGATAATCACGTATCATTCAATTAATCTGCTTTCCAAGAATTAACTCTTCATGGCGTGATAGACAGTTGCTAAAGTCCAATGTTAGCTTTCGCATAGCTGGCCAGGCGTAAAGGCCCTAGAGGGGGTATCGGGGGTATGCTTGTTGGAGGTATTCAACAGTAAATATTTGACACCTTTTTTCTGAGAAAATCTTTTACGGGGAAGTTGGTTTTCACTAGAAACAAACGCCCACATCAATGGCTATTGTTCAAAATTCCTAGAAAGGCTTTGAAGTACATCCGTATTCTATCTCAACGTGCACATTTCGAAGACTTTGGAAAGCAGTTGTACCCTGGGTCTGTCTGGCTCTTTAGAGAAAAAATAGCCCGACCCGAGGAGTTGACATCACAGGACGCTTATTTTTGAAAGTTTTTAGTGTATAAATAGAACCTATGGTCACTGGAAACTTCAACATTGGTCCAACAGAGCTCAATAATCACAGTTGTGAGTTTTTATTCAATTTTGGTTTTGGGAAAGCAATCTTTCACATTTCGAATCAATTCAGAAAATTCTTACATGAAAGTTTTTTTTCCCTCGTTCATTGGTCGGAGGAACATTTTTCTTTTCTATTCGGTGCTTGTTCAAAAACGAACGAAGAAAAAGAACAGTTGCAAATATTTAATTCAAAAGTTTATAAAATTTATTTGTGAAGGCCGTTATATAGGAATTGGCAGAAGAATATTTGATGACTCTGTTGTCGTCGCGCATGCCCAGATTTTCGTCCAAACGGATAAAAACGATAAAACATTTACGAGCCAAAAGAAAAAGAAACTTTTGAAAGAAAAAATCTTGTCTATGTTATATCATTAGAAAACAGACCAGTCGATCATGTTTGTACCTTTTGAGGCGGTCGTGTTAAACTGACTATAGTCCCAGTTCAATGTACTTTTTCGGTCATATAATTGATTTCTAGAAGGGTACAAAGTCCAAATAAAACCCATTAGCAGTAGGTGGTTTTGTCGAATTCGCACATGTTCTAGGCTGAGTAGAGTTTGCCAGTAGATTGTTTCTATATATAGGTATTTGCAACCGCCTATCGAAGGTGAGTACGGTTTTCTAATAAGTATTACTAGTGTACAGCCGGTAGTGCGAAGATTAACTTTACCGAGTTAAAAAAACTTACCATCTTCCTCATTCTTCACAAAACATGACGTTATCGACATTACCGCGGATCCTAGCAGTATGCGGGACGCGTGTCATATATGAACTTCGTAATGGGCTTTGCCCAGCGTATTGTAAAGTACTGTATATAATATACGATTCTATTTGTTTTTATACATTTTATTTGCTTATATATTTATTTACTTAATTTCTTCTTTTTCTCTTTCTCGGAGAAATTAGCTATACAGCTACTCTTGTAAATCTGAGGTGAAATAAAGGTGATGTATGTATGTATTCACAATCTCCTAGGGGATTCGGCAACCGAGCGGGCTTATGGGAAAGTTGGAACCATCTATGCTTCCACTTTCGATATGATGTATGTATGATGTATGTATGTAGACGGTTTCTCAGCGGCCCAGTGGTAGAGGATCGAACGTCTGACGGCTTCGTTTCCTCATAGAGTCAATTTTTTTCTTTGTCCCAAGCTCATGGCTATATGAAAAAGCATCTTTCTATAGAAAATAAAGGCTACTTGTAAACTTTCGATCCCTGAACTGAATGATTTATTATTGCAAGAGACTGAAGCGTAGAAACTACCTTTAATTGATTTATACCGTACCTTGACAAAGAGAGTCGGGTTTTTAAAAACCGATGTATAAAAACAATAGTGAAAAAACTGCTATGAGAGTCATTTAAATTGTCTGATCGAAAAATTTCGAAGCCGGAAAACACCCACATGAAATTAGAGAGAAAAAGTCATGAAATAGTTTGCCAAGGAAGAAAAACAGTAAATAGAAAGCAAAAAACTACAAAGTAATGCAGATAGTTAAGAACGGTTGATTAGTGAAGACCAAGACGGAAAATATTGAACTTAACGTGAATCTTTTTTCAGAGATCGTGCATATAATAACTAAAATAAAAAGATCTTTTGCTATGCCGTAGTAACACTTTTTACTATCGAATATATGAAAGGGGTTCTTATCTTTCGGGAAGGACGCGGTTAAAAAGAAGTAAGGTTTAGTCAGTGAGACCTCAATCACCATTAGCTGGTCCTGCGGGGTACACATGACTATATAAAATAATATAAAATTGAGCGAACATTTATTTCACTATTTAAAGACTGCCGCGAGAAGCAGCAGAAGAGATCTGTAGGGCACTGAGCTATCGCTTGTGGTAAAACGTACCTTGAGTGTGTCCCATCCTGTGAAAATTCGAAACAAGAAGTTTTTGGCTCGTCCCATGCGCTTGCTTGGGAAGAGAGGAGAAAAAGTGGCAAACCAAACAAAGCTCGGCTGTAATCACTGACGGAGATTTTCGTTCGTCAACACGCATTCACTGAGAACCTTATATAGGTTGGATTATTTTTGACACTGGGCTTATATAGAGAGAGTCGGAAAACTCAAGAACCGATTAGCAAATAATATGAGCGAAGCTCTGACGAAGGGCGAACGCTTCGAAACGTCAGGTTTTTAACTCTTTACAGTGGCCAATTTACAATTTCAAATTAGTTGATAAGACCAAGTTACCTTGTTACCCCTACCGACACAACACTTCAGTTTCTTTAGAAACTCACCCCCTTTATTCGTTCAATTATAGCTAAGTAACTATGGTGGCGAAGTGTTTTTCGATGTACATGCTTGACAAAGTTCTCAGACTTATAGTACAACCGATACGATATCCGCACACGCTTTGTCTCTATAAATTCAAATATATGACAAAGGATTTTTAATGCAGGAGAAAATCCTTGTATTTTACCAAGTTAGGTCAGACAAACTATGTTTGACTTGGAAGTAATATCTGCTTATCATAGATAAGTCCCTTGACACCTTGATGCGAGTGGTGATCGAATATTACATGCAAAGCATTCGAGACGGCGAGGTTCTTTCCCAATGGCGGATCTAGGGGAGGGGCACGGGGGGTCGGGCTCCCCCCTTATTTTGGGTAAAAAAAAATAAACGCAGAGGGCAGAAAAGCCGGTAGGTGAACACAGACAAACAAAAACGTTCCTTCCTTCCCCTCTTTAGCTCAAGGCCTGGATCCGGCACTGTTTCCCAAAGGAAAGAAGAGGTGGCAGAGACTTTGAGGTTTTTTGTTGTGTTGTGAGGTGTTGTCTCCTGCAAGATACATTCAAAAAGTGATTTTCACGCCTTCATCGTCCAGCTCTTTTGATTTTCACATGACTTGAGTGATATTCTCAGAAGGAGGTTAGTTTTTGGCTCTCTGCTGATTCAGCTGTCCCAGAACCTGGGCAGTTTACTGATGATTTTGTAGAATACAATACAATACAATATTCTTTATTTAACAAAGGTGACGTAATTAACCCAATGAGTTATCCAACTTACGGCCTTCACAACTATACAAACCCACCATCCCACCCCAGGGGAGGACATCCATCACACAGTAGTCTCGTGTGTGGGAAATTAACGTCTCCTACCCCAACCCTGCAGGAGACGGGACCTCCATTTATTCGTCCCTATCCGAGAAGACTAGAATAGTACGAAGTTGTATAAACCCAATGCTTGTAAACGGCAGATCTCCAGTTTTTTTTACTTCCCCCCTTATAACATCTAAGGCGAATGATATGCTGTCGCGTAGCATGTTAATCTAACAGTTTTAACTTAATAATAGTAATATTAATAAGTTTATTGAACGCTCCCTAAAGGGGTTTTTCAGTGAACGGTACAATACAATAAGAATAAAAGAGATACTTGTATAGTAAAAAATGTAAAACTACATGTTAAAACTATTTTGTTGTAAGAAACTCGTTCAACATCTTTGATTTTAAAGTTTTCTTAAAGTTAGTGAGGTCTTTACACATTTTCAAATCACTTTCTAGATTTCGTGGGGAACGTTTCAAGAATAAAAGCCAAAAACTCACCACCCTCCTTTACAATCTAAATAGGAACCGCAAAAAAAAAAGGCAAATTGCGACAGCAACGACAGTGAGAATGTGGCAAAACAAAAGATCTAATGGACAGAACAATACCTCAGCTCGCGCGTTGTAACACTTTGTACATTTCTTTTAGGCCTAGTTTATACGTCGCGCTACAGTCGAATTTAACTCAAACGAATTTAATGCCATTAAATTCATCGTTCCGTCCACATAAATCGTGGCGTAGTTTTATGCGTCGAAGTCAATACGGTCGAATTTAATTCTCTTCCCAAATGCAGTGTCTCTGGTCAGAGGTGTCACTCGAAAAGCTCGCCCCGGGTCGCTGTGGGCTCGCCCCGGGTCGCTGCGGGCTCGCCACGGGTCGCTGTGGGCTCGCCAAAATAAATTAAGAAGCTGTATGCATTTCATTTGACGCGACGCTAGTGCGACGTTAAAACTGAAGACGCGTTATCGATTTTTTATCCGTCTTATCAAGACGGATAAACGTCTAGGACGAATTTAATTAACCAGACGAATTTAATTCGTTTTAGAGGTCGCGCTATCGTCGAATTTAATTGCTTGTGGGACCTTGAATTAAATTCGTCTGAATTAAATTCGACTGTAGGGCGACGTATAAACTAGGCCTAGCTGTCCTCCGAAAATCAACGACAGGCGGTAAAAGTCAAGAACATTTCCCTGGTCGCACGAGGACCCTAATGATATTCATGAGCAATCAATGAAATGACTAAGTTGAGAAGATTTTGTTTCCTTTTCATGTGAATGCTAGGCTACTTGAACAGAAATTTGGTTCTATCAACTAAGTTAAAATTGTAAATTGGCCACCGTAACGAATAAAAAAGCTGACGTTTCGAGCGTTAGCCCTTCGTCAGAGCGCTCTGACGAAGGGCTAACGCTCGAAACGTCAGCTTTTTTATTCGTTACGGTGGCCAATTTACAATTTCAACTTAGGTGATATAACAAAACTGTATCCTGTTACTACCCCCACCGACGCAGCACTACAGTTTTTTTAGAAACTTTCAGCCTTTATTTGCTTGAACAGAAAGTCTTAAAAACTAGTTCCCGGTGAAGAATCCGCTCATATCTAACCGCTGAAAAAAAAAATTGCTCCCGCCAAACGTGTAAACAAAATCTCGTTAAATCGCGAACATAAAAATGCTTGTCACGCCGTACTGAACTGAATGCGCAAAACTATATTTCCGGATCGTGCCGGAGGCTATCGAATATCCACAACCAAAATAACAAGTTTAATACGACTGTCAATTTTAGCTAAAATAGTAATGAAAGGGTTTCATGAAAAACTGTTAACTTGTGGCAAAAATCAGCTCCGCTTAGAAGCTGTAATAGAAAATCTTTGTGTGCTCAAATTATGCGATGAAGCAGTTGTTTGTCGTTTATTGAGCATAGTAAAATATGTATTTCATCCGGATAAAATGCATATTTAAAATGACGTTTAACTTTTAAAATGGGTGATGATCTTCTCCATATTTTACCATCTTCGTTTCATCTTACTTTACCATTTCTTTCTAATTTTCCATCTATTTATCTATTCGTCTATTATCTTTGGTTCCGTCAAGTTCACTGCAAAAGTACTATTCGACGCAAAAACAATGCATGGGAACGAATGACGTGGCTCGATAAATTTATGCTGACTTCAGCGAGATCCCTTGGGTTTAAAAATTTAGATTTGTTGCTTCATCACCCATGCTATTTAAAGAAAACATTGTGCAATTTTGTGACTTTTCTCAGAAATATGCACGGAAATATCAGATTTGTCGGCGTCTTTTGGTAAAGTAACGCAATAGCAGACGAATTCAGTAACTTTTCCGCTTTAGAATATTGAAAGCGAAAAATGCATTTAGTTTTGGTACACGGTTATTTGCTCGGTGGTTCAGGATCCAACGTCTACACTGCTAACATTGCCAAATCGTGGAAGCGACAGGGTCATGCGGTGACAATACTCTGCCAAGATCCTCATGCTGATCGCTTGGATTTTGTCGACGAATTCATTGTCGGCAACGACGCCATTCCGCTCTCCGCCCCCTCAGCTGGCAATATTCGAGTCGTGGTGCCGGACATTAATGGGCTGCTTCTTGTCTATTGGTACGATCTCTACGAGGGGTACGAGGTGAAGACGATGGTGAACTGCTCTTTGGAGGAGATCGAAGCGAATATTAAAGGAACGGCAGACGGCTTGAAGAAGGTGATCGCTCAAGGTGTCGATCGAATACTGGCGAATCATGCGATCTTGAGTCCGGTAATAACGAAACGAGCCACGGAAGGCACTGGAATTCCCTACGATGTTAAAATACACGGAAGCTCTCTGATATTCTCCGTGAAAAACCGCCAAGAGCTGAGAAGCTACGCTCTGGAAGGGATAAGGAGTTGTCGCAAACTCATTGTCGGGGCGAAGTACATGGCGAGCTTTGTTCAAGAAATATTTGAAGTGGAGAAAGAAGAGATGGGTCTGCTCGAAAAGATCGTCATAATTCCTCCAGGTATGGACCCTGACGTTTTCCAGCTAGGTGGGTCTAGAATCGAGAGGCAAAAGGCGTTTATAGCAAGTGTGAAGGATTTTATCAAGCGAAAGCCTGGAGGGAGAAGAGCAGACAAAGTCAAACTTCCGGGTCACTCAGCGAAAGAGTTACAGAAGTCATTAGAAAGCGTTTCCGAGTCCTATGACCTGCGAGCAGCTGACGCAGATCTCTGTGAACGCTGGATTCCTCTAGAAGAAGACGAGCCACTTATCTGCTTCTTTGGCAAGTTTCAAGAAACCAAAGGAGTCGGGGAATTATTAATGGCTTTTGCGACTATTGTTGAACGGATTCCCAGGGCCAGACTGTTGTTGATCGGGTATGGAGGCAACCGCGAGAATTTGGAGGGAATGCTGGAGGCGATGGTTCAGGGAAGCATTGAAGCCTTCAAAGCATATGCTGAAGCAGGAAACTTTGTGGATCTCCCTCAGGAACCTGAGAAATTCTTCCGCCAGATTCCATCGGGAAGGGTCACAATGACAGGTCTCCTAGAACATGGCCAGTTGAAGGAAGTCCTTCCTCTGTGTAGTCTCAGTGTAATGGCATCCAAAGCCCTGGAAGCCTTTGGAATGGTTTCAGTCGAAGCTATGGCTGCTGGGGTACTCCCCCTCTGTCATGATCATACGGGAATCTCAGATGTCATAGGTGCTGTCAGAGAAGTGGATCCTGAGTTAGGAGACCTGATGCGCTTGGAGGTACGTCCTGGTGGCGCTCAAGGTGTAGCAGATGGTGCGTTTCTGGTGGAGCAGTTGCCAAACAAAGTAGAGAAAGCTCTTAAGTTCATGTATCCAAATGGTTTCCGGGATCACAGCAAGCGATGTGAGGTGTCCGCTAAGCTGAGGGATGTGGCAATAGCCAAGTTCTCCTGGGATGTTATAACCAGCAGCATCTTAAAAGAATGACAGAACTGAGTCTCAAGCCTAACTTTCTGATAAAACTTGATTCAAAGTGAAAATTGATTCTCAAGCACATTGCATCTTGATTCATTTGAAAAAAAAAAAAAAAAGAGAGAAAGAGGAGATCCTTACATTTTCTTTTAGTCGAAAGCGAGCAAGAGAGAGAAGGTGGAGTTTGCTTCATAATCATCGGCTTAGATGATTGTTGCAATTGATGTAGTAGTTAGAGTAATTAGTTGTCTGTTTCCCGCATTTTATTTTTCTCTGACATTGTCATCAACTGTTGAATAGAAATGAGTGCAGTNAGAGGGGGTTCTTTGAATGTTGAGTGTCCCAGTTTCAATTTTTTCAAAGCGATACCATGAACATTTGATCACTTTTGTCTATGCTGATTGCTAGTCGGGTCTAGAATGGTGATGCAATTTAGACTTTCATTTCAAATGCTTATGCTTTTCTCTCATTGACACTGCGCTCGACAAAGAGCAAAATTTTGTCAATTCTTTTAGTCTCATCTGCTGTTGATAATGATCGTAAATAAAAACTCATGACTTTTGGCCATCTCATCCTCAGTGATAATTGAATTCTCTTTTTGGTTCGCCTGCGCAGTTTTTTTCATTTTATCTTAAATGATGGGAGTTCTTCCAAGATCTTCCAAGCTTATACACTTACCGGAATCCGTTATAGACTCGGAGATCAGCATTATGATACGACCCAAAGAACTTTACGTAATTCTGGCCCAAACCAGATCAATTTTCCGTACTTATCACTAGTATGAAAGCACCTCACTAAAAAGCAAAGAAGTTACCTGAAAGATAAGAAGTTGAGGCGACTGACAGTGATCGGACGGAACTGCTCGCTCTTAGATTTCTTGCTACCTACATACGTTGGGAAACTACATCGCGATCAACCGCTGGCTAAAGATCCTGAAGACTCATATTTCGAATGCGTAACGACCGACCGAGTCCTATGAAAAAAAATCTCGGTGAAGTAGCGTTCAAGTAACCGGGAGATTTTATCATTTATTGCTCTATGAAGACATGGTTTTCGGTCGTTCGAGGCTACCTCTATTTGTAGTTTTATTCTGTGGCGCAGCTATTCCGTTGTTTTTTATCGCAAAAAGAGCGACATTAAACGGAGGATATACGCCTTGGTCGGACTGGAGCTTTTGCTCCAGTGATTGCGGCGACGGAATTCGCTTTAGAACTAGAGATTGTGCGAATCCTGTCCCCGGAAGATTCGGCCAGACGTGTCTTAAACAAAGCCTTGGGCAACCAAAGGAAGAAGAAAGTTGCAAGATTAAGGAATGTCCCATAGATGGAGGTTACACAAATTGGAGCGAATTTGGCGAATGTTCTGCAGCATGTGGAAGTGATGGTGTTCGGAAACGGACGAGGTCTTGTACAAATCCAAGTCCGCAGTATGATGGAGCTCCTTGCGAAGGCGTGAACGAAGAAAGTGAGCCCTGTAACGTGAAACCATGTCCTGTCGACGGTGGGTTTACCGATTGGGGAAATTTTGGCGACTGCGATAAAACATGCGGATCGGGTGTCAAGAGACGAACGCGAACGTGTTCGAATCCACCGCCGGCACATGGCGGAAAGAACTGTGAGGGTCCAGTGGATGAGGTTGAAGTATGCAACACTGCACCCTGCCCTATTGATGGTGGATTCACGGAATGGTCTGAGTTCGGAATTTGTACAAAGACTTGCGGCTCTGGCGTCCAAGCCAGAAATCGTACTTGTTCACAGCCAGCCCCAGCGAGAGGAGGTAAAGATTGCGAAGGACCTTTTGAGGAAACACAAGCTTGCAGTACAGACCCTTGTCCTAATATTGGAGGATAGAATTTTGGAACTCAAGAAGATGTTATTTAGAAACGTTCATGGGTTCTTCGGAGAAAGAAAGCTTTCTTCACTCACCCCTATTCAATGCTAGATTGTCGATACACTACCGTCGTCTACAAATGTCAAAACTGGTATGTTTTCATAACAAATATTTATTGATACTGCTTTTGGAGTGTTATATCACCGTTTCTTCGCAAAAATGCGCTGTGGCAGGATGTATTTTGACTCTGAACTGATATTTTCCAGCATGTTTAGGCAGATTCCTTCTTTACTCGTGGTAACTAACACTGAGAAAGTAAAACAAAAAGCGAATAATCGGACAACGAAGTACAACATTGTTTTATTAAGAACCCCAAAACAATGCCCTCTAATAACTCATGCATAATTTGATGAATTTGCATGTGTATTGATAACATTTCCTCCCAAGAATTGAAATTACTAAGCGTCGAAATAGAGATAACTTTGATAGCTTATGAAACAAGACAATTTACCGGGTAAACTTAACTGCTATTACCCCCAGATGCAGTTGTTACCGGAATCACTGGATAGTCGATACTTCAGTTATTTGCATAAACAGTGTTATTATCCAACTACACTTGGACGAGTGCAAATAACGCCATAGACGAGTTTAAATATCACGTGCTATTTGTACTCGTCTATTGTAGAGTACCGGTTACCGCGCAAGCGAAGAATTGGAGTTGGCTATAATCATCTCATATCCAACAAGCGCGAGTGGAATAATTGTTTTATTAGAAACGCCCCCAAGAAATTATTATTTTGTAAGAAGAAACCGAATTTTGTAGCTCCCTTTTGATTTTAAGCTGACGCGTACGCTTACCATATTTGTAGATTAAGGTATATTGGCTCATATACCATAATGGCTAAGCCAATAAAAAGTCTTGAATTGCATTATCCAATGATCCAGTTTTTAATAATAAGATATATTTACTGGTGATCTTAGACTGTAACTACACTTTCCAGGTGGCTGCCCATCACTCATTTTTATTTGGCATTTCGACGAAATTTTGAAAGTAGTCTTGAAGCGCTCCTTCAGAAATATTTCATTTTCTCTGTAATTTTTTAGTCTTCCATGCACCAGCAAATGAATCTGAAAAAAAAAAAAAAAAAAATTAAGGGTAAGTCTTATGTCGGTGTGGAAAGTTATTGAGCATTTCAGAAGTATCGAACGATTCAAAATTCTCATGTTTGACACATTTGTCTCGTATTTTATTACTTTGGTATCTTTAGGGAGTGTAAAATAAAAATCTAACCGTTCGCAACAGTTTGTAATAAAAATAAAAAATCATTAGAATTGGCCTTCTATCCAATTTAAGCATAACAATGATAGTTATCTATATTTGAATGGGTACTCAAGCGAGACATGTTACTCAGAGTAGAACCGCATAACTGGATAAAATCTCCCGTTCTGATTGCTAAACGAAGCGAGGTATTCAGCATGGAGCTGCGAGTTGAAAACGAGGGTAATTATAAGTGATATTGTTTCGCACCTCTTGTTTCGCGCTCGGGATAAAACAAACACTTTTATTGCACTTGAAAACCGATATCGCACTCATCTCTTCGCGATTCGTGCGATATCAGTTTCCGCGTGCAACGTAACTCGGAATTCTCTCGTCAGGTAATAAATTTTGGCATAGAATTAAAAGCAAGGCTGTTGGACTTAAGCGTCAGGAGCGCGCGAAATTGACTTGCAAGTCGCAACATTCGAGATGTGCTAAAATTTGGAACACCGGAACACTGGAACACTGGAGCACCGAAACATGCTGGAACATGCCGGAAACACAGCGGAATTTCAAAAACTTAAAAACAAACATAAAATTTGATAATAAGTAATTAAAAATTATGCAAAAAATAAAACGTAATTTGTGTGCAGCTCGCACTCTTCGTGCGTCAAGTCCGCTATCTTGATTTCAGCTGACCATGAACCCCTCTGTCGGAGGGCTCAATTCCCAACATGGAGAATGGTGGGCTTGGGTTCGTGTCGTTTGCACTCGTAATCCGCTGTGATCACTTGAATTATAGTATACACAACCTTGGAGAATTTATTCCCTAAAAAACCAAATTAAATAAGAGAGAGAATGAGAATTCGTCCACCGAAAAAAAGTTAACTAATTTCTTGACATCGTCTGACATTTGTAAACAAAATAGCAAAATATTCATAAAAAGCAAAGGCTGGGGGAAGATAATTTTGAGATTACTCTGCTAGTTAGAAGGTGAAATCACTACTGTACCTTTGTGACAGAATTTAAAAGGAAATGAGTTATTGAAATTCACTGTGAGTACTTTGCAACATTACTGGGCCTAGCAAGGGCAGTGAAACTTAAAACTATGACCTTTATGAGTTTGGTTTCAAAGGTAAATATTTTCTTATGATCACTGAGATCAAAAGACAAGCTGTGGATACATAATTTGAGGTACTGGAAGTCCATTTATCTCGGCCCTCATTAAAGGATATCTACTTGGCCCTTTGGGCTCACTGTATTTGTTTTGGTTCAAATTTTTCCTTGGTTTAAAAGCATTACAAGTAAAACCATTTTAATTTCACCTTGCATCTCTGGAATAAACTAGTGTTCGTTATATCGTTAAATTGTAACCTTCCTTTCTTTTAGGGAAATTCTTCATTCTTGTCAGCCGATCGCTTAGACGTTTGAGTGACATGGGAACGAATTAGTCAGAAATTAATATCCTGACGACACGTTGAAGAGGTTCGCGTGGCATCACGGTAGTTTCGGATTATTTAAGCGTTTCGCGGGAAAATTAAGTCATTCTCGGTCGGTCAGTCTTAGGTTTGACCACTTTCTTTTTTCTTATTTAATGTAATTTTGTTTTACAACTCTCTGTAAAAATATCACTGCTTTCATTGAATTTTCTGTGTGATCAGTAGTGTAACTAAGTTTATTTTAATTACCCTTTCCTCGGGGTATAGTGCTGCTGCGTTAGATGAAGAATACGTTTCCACGTAGTTTTTGGCCACTTCTAAAGAGTGGTTTTTTTAGTGGTTTTTCGTATCTGGCGTAGCACAGGCTATTTTTGTATAACCCTTCAGTTTCAGTGAATACTTGCAGCACATTGTAGATTGTAGTAGGACGCGTATACTAGAAGGCTGGCTGACTCATCCTAAATAAACTTTCACATTGAATATCTCGCCTGAGTGTTGTCAGAATGAGTTCTCTTTGTGAGTCTGTTTTCACAGAGATCCACCTAATTCTCTTTCGCAGCGGTCTGTTTTGGGGAAAGCACCTGGGACTACGTAGATTTTGTCAGAGAGCCCTCTTTTCAGGCCTTTTTTGGTGAAATAAAGTGATCGGTTAGATTCCGAAATTTGCCGTCGGCTCTTCCTGCTTCTTGTTAATTTTACCTCTTCAGAAAAACGAAAATATGAGAGATTTGACTAATCTGAGTCCCTAAATACAGAGCGCCACAGCAAGAACACAGTGCAGTACTTCACCAACTCAGTAACGAGGAGAATAATTATTTCTTAGTTCACAATATAGATTATGTGGTTGTTTTGCGCTTCGGAATCTACATTCAAGTTTCCTTCCGTGATTCCGCCCCAACCTCGCTTTCGTGCCCGAAATTAGGTTCCAGCGCGTGCCTCAAACCTTCGGCGGAACCCAATGACCCAGACCCATATGCATGGGCTCTTTACAGTCGTTTATACAAACAGAGATAGATCGCCATTTGAGTGACCAGAAAAAGGTTTTCATGACCACAAACAAATTCACATGATCAAATGAGCAAAGGGGGAAGGTGTCACATTGTGTCAAACGGAGAGTGCTCACCAGTTTTTGCCACCTGAACTATATTACTTCTAATTCTAACTATATATATATCTTATTAACCAAGCGCGAGGGCCGTACTGGGAGAGTATCGGCCCGAGGTCTTGACAGTACGGACCGAGCGCAGCGAGGTCCGTACAAAAAAGACCGAGGGCCGATATTCTTCCAGTACAGTCCCGAGCAAGCTTGGTTAATAAGAGATTTATTATACGACTGAAGTCCAAAGGGACACAAGTGCGGTATCATTCGGGACCATTCGAGACAGTGCCCGGTCCAATACTTAGAGAATATTGGACCGAAAATAGAGCATTTTGATTAGTTAATTTTAGTTATTGGCCCTCTGACTGCCCGAGTCGTGTAATAATAAGGAATATTGTCGGTTGTTTGCTCCAAAAAAAGCTTACGAAGGGGAGGTCAAAGGGGAACCCATAACCACCTCCTCCCAGCTACGCCCTTCATTATTTTGTTATACGTTCCATTCAATTCTACCGCCAAAACTGGTTTCGTTTTGTAAACTATCAGTTTTAGTAAAAATCTTTAATGTTCAGTATCCTCACAGAGATATCTGTTGGCCCTAGTGACCCATTGGTAGTAAAGTATGATGGCATTGTGACCTTTGTCTGTGTCCCAAGATCACACTCTACTTTTAGGCGGCACTGCCGGTGTTTGGTTTGCTTCAAGTTTAGCTCAAGGCCTGGGGCGGTACTCCCTTGTAAGGGCTTAATGGGGACGTGCGGCCAGCCAGGGTAGGTTTTTAGAGATTTTTGTCTTAAACAGAGTCATGGTATGAGGAGCCACGCCGCACCTCCCCACCCAGGAATATATCGAGTACCCCCCGGGGGTCAAGGGATGCCAGTGTCGTATTTGAATCACCTCTACCAACGTCTCCTTGAGATAGACTGAAACTCATTGCTCCACTGTCCTTTGCGCAGGCGGTAATGGAAGGTTTTCCCATCATACCTGTCTGAAGCTGTGTTTTAAGCATGTTCTTTCCAACCATACCGCGAATTTCGCCCTGCAAATCATTTAGAGGAAGAATCAATGCCAGACAGCACGAGTAGGACCACTGAGGGTTCATGCTCCACTCTGATAGACGTACATCAAGTATTGAACTGATAGTAAAATATATAAAATTTAAATTATAAGAATTTTTTAGCAATTTTTTTCGGCAGTAAAGGTTGTTCAGTTCAGCAGCATTTCACTAGAGTATTCTACGCCACACAGGTTGATCTTCCTCAAAAACTAGGGTCCACATATGATCCCTCTCTAAATCTCCTCGAGTGAGCGAAACATTTTGAATGAGCATGCATTTAATGGCGTTTTCCCTTTTTCCGCTTCACCTTCTGCACGCAAAATCATTTAAGCTAACAGCAAAAATGAATTATGTTGTGTATCAAGCATTGTAATAACCAGTCGCGCAATTTCAGCACAAAATTCCAAACGGATAAAAGTCACGAATTATTTCTGACTGTCGCAGTTGACATTTTGAGAAGGTATTTAAGATATCAGAACGAATCCAGGCTTACTTCAAGCTTTAGCCTAAATTTAACGCTCTACAGCTAACACCTTTCCTGACAAGCAAAATGCAGAAGGATAGATAATGATAATTCCATGTGTGCGGAAATACTTTGATCCGGTTTGATTAAAATATTTTGCCCAAATCTTTCCTAGACCATTTATTTATATTTACCGAGAAGAAGACCAATTACAAGAGTATTTGCCCCAAGAATCAGTATCTTCATTGTCAAGGCATCCATTTGTTCATCCACTGTGTCCGAATTCTCTGCTGGAACTTTGCTCACAGCACTGTTACGTGCACGAATGACCAACAAATGTCCGCTAACAAAGCATATATGAAAATAGACTGCCGAGTACGATATATGGCACGCAACAAAATGTAACAACAAGCAGTTACCCATTTTAACTACTATTTGATTAGTTTTACATTGTC